GAGGGTACCGACCTGGCAGCGCTGAGCCTGGGCTGGATCTGTCAGGGCTTGCAAAGCAAGGGGGGGCTTTCTAGTTTTTTTTTAATGGTCAACGGCTTTAGAAGGGTTCCCAGTTTTATTGAAGCGGGATTCTCTGGGAGTTTTGTAGGGGTCTCGACAGGGCGACATACGGTGTCACAAAGGTTCTCCTGTGAGAGTCGCTTCTTTCAGGGGCCCCTTCTGTTTCATTCCGGTTTGGAAATCTTCATGCCGCAGTTATGACTGCCGGTTTTAACAGAAAATGCAGCGTAAACGTTAAACGGCAGGATCGTTCAGGCGCATAGGTCTCCGCTTGGGATTTCGTTCCGAGTTGGAAAACGACGAAGTGCAAGTTTGGCCCCTTTTGGCCGCTCGCGAATCCCTCCCGAGGCTGTTGGTTGGAGGCAACGATGGCTTGGATGACACGATGCGGTTGCGCCAGGCGCTACAAGTAGCTTCGGAGTCCTGGATTTCAGCTGAAAGAGCCTACTGAGGCGAGAGGACGATAGGGATGTGCAAGGAGACTACGGGCAGGGTACCAGCAAAGCTAACTCAAGCATGTGATGGTCTTGCCACCCGAGACGAAGAGATTTCCAGTGACAGTCCAAAGCACAACCAAACCCTTTTCCTACAAACATTGGTCAGGTCAGCCGCCGCTTTCAAGGGCTCGCGGAGCACGCCGCGGGGCACCTTGTTTCAACTGGCGTGGGGAGTGGTAGGGCTCAGTTGCTATTGAGTCAGAGACTGCAGCGCCCTTTCCTGCATGATGTCAGAGGCCTTCCCTCGTTGATGGGCTCTGCTGAGTTTCACGCCCTTACTGGAACATAAAGAAAGCACATCTGTCAAGGTGCCACCTGCACGACGTGGATCCGACAGTGCGCATGGAAGCTTTAAAAGCTGCCATTCATGCGGCTGAGAACGGAAACTTGGGAAAGTGGCTTGGCTGAGATGTCATCAGCCAGAGTCACAGCCAGCAGTGCTCGGGTTCGACACGTTGTACCGGTGATGTCGTGATGTTCCCGCCCCGATCCGAGTCCGAGGATCTGCGGTGTGTTGGGCCGCAGCTTTGCGGCAAGTCATCTCTAGCCGGGGAGACAAACCGTATGAAACAGAAGACGCCGCCACTCTGACTAACCGTGCCTTGGGTCTTCTTGCTCTGGCCGCCAGCGGAGGGGCTCGACATGCTGTGCCCATGCTCGTCCCAGGAGTCGACGACGAAAATGCAGCTGTAAGGTGCGCCAGCTCGGATGCGGAAGATTCAGCATGGATGCCAGACCGTTTAAAGTCTACGGTAATATATGATAAAGCTACAATTTGGGCTACATCTTCAGCTGCACGGCCACATGCGGAATGATTCTGTGCTTCGGCAATTGAAGGCAACTTGCTACGAGCTCGCTGGCCTACCTCCTCATGGAGGATGGTCGGGTTGGGGCGATTTCGGTGAATTCGGTCCAGCACGTAATCTATTCCACTAAACCCTGAACCTCGCCCGGCCTGTCCCAGCTGTGAGTGCTGAAACCCTGAACCACAAGCAGTTACAGCCATGCGAGAGGGAAAGAAGAGTTACGGAACCTCTGGTGCTGCCGCCCAGGACGACCACGAGGCCCCTGCCGCGAGGGCCGCGGGGGTGCAGCCGGGTTCTTGGAATTCGACTGTAATTTGTTATATGATTAACTTTTTTTATTATGTTATGCATTTTATGCTATGGTATGCTACAGTATACTCTAGTATATTATAACATATGATACTATGGGCTGATGTACGATCATATACGACACTATGCGATAATGTACGATAATCTGCTATAAGGTGCTATAGTATGCTTTGGTACACCAGATCAGCCTTGCCGGATCTGATTGGCAGGCGCGACACTGTGGACTTCAGACTTCTCCTTTGGAGGGTGAAGAAGAGCCTCTAGAATAAAGGAGCTGAGTACCCTCACAGGCTCAGTTCCTGATGATCTAAAGATGTGACATTCTACCAGGGTCTAGCTAGCAGTATCTGAGAATGAGATTGGCCCTCTTGCTTCGCCAATTGGTGCCGAGGCGATTGCTGGATTCTGACGGGGAGGCCCAAACTCAAGTGACGGGGGTAAGACATGGGTTGCCGTAGCAAGCCGGGAGCCTGGATTTGCAGCGAAAGATGCCGTTCGATCACCAGGAGGCTAGGAGATGGCATTGCGCCGATGCGCATTCGATCGGAAGCTCAGCCGTGTCTTCTCGTTGAGGTGCGAAGCGCTGCACGGATGCTGCTCGGAGCCGTGGCACACGGTCATGAGGCAGTGGCCGCATGCCCTGAATGGACCCGGCTTTGCCAAGAGTCTGCAGTTTCCCCTTAGCCATCTGTAGCCGCTGTGGGGGAAGAAGAAAGCACAAGACAGCACAAGCCAAGGTCTCAGCACTGGCGGGCATCATGCAGAGCCGCGAGGAGGACCTTTGTCTCGCAGTTTGACGTCATATCCTTTGGACCTAGGCCAAGGACATGTGCCCTTGCGGCCCATTGCTTACGCTATCTTAGACCTTGCTGCCAGAAGCCTAACCAGGAGGCAAAGATCTACTGTTGAACTCATTCTTACGTTCGGGTTGCATAGATGCACGAGGACTGGTTACGACAAGAGGCCGTGGAGGCTTTGTCGTCGCTGGCCAGCCGCGGGAACTCGGAGGCGCGCCCGAGCTTCGAAGAAGGAATCCAGGATGTCTTGGCATTCTTCGTGTTTTGCAGGCATTTGCCCAGGACTGCATGCTGCCGCCCTCGCCACTTTGACCCCGAGCCTTGAGTCCCACTGTACCGATGCAGGCCCTGGCCGCGGTTGTGCGGGGCCTTGCGGACACCGGTTTCTCTCAGCGGCTTGAGTTGGAGGGCTCCGCTTGATTTCCGGTGTATTTCACGGTGAAGCTCGAACAGACCTGCCGTCCTGTAGCTGTCACCGAGATTGCCTAGCTCCGTTTCGGGGGGCGACTGTGCCTTGGGCGTGTCATTGCATTTCAGTTGAAGAGGTTTCAGCTTTGATTGTGGTATATTGCAGTTTAGATGGGCATTTCATCTGTGCCCTGAGGCTTTGGAGGTCTTGGGCATTGCCCAGATCCTAGATCCCAGTCGTATGACCCCTGCCAAACCCACGGAGCTTTTGGAGCAAGTTTCTGGCCAGGACCCCAGTCTTGCGGTGCGGCGAGAGGCTGTGGCAGCACTGGGAGATGTTGCTTTGCGGCATGAACTCGAGGATGACTTAGAGGATTGCAGTGCCAAGTGGGATGTCTTTGCTGTAGACTTGGGCGAACTGACGGCTTCCGGGTGTCTGGTTTCCATTTTCACGAGTCCGGGCCTGTAAGGTGGAATGTCGGTCCCGGAGCTGGCGTGTTGCTGCAACGTTACGTAGGAGGTTTGCGCTCATTTATGACGCAGCCCGCGTGGAACCATCGGGAGCCTACCTCCTTCTGCATCTCAGGTAGCGCCTTTCTGTGATCGCGAGGGAACAACCTTGTTGTGCCAATGCTGCACCGACTCTCAGCCTGCATGCAGCCAGTCCTCGTGCAGTCCGAGTCCCTCCGAGAAGGTGTCAGGTATGTTGTTCCTGGACGCTCCTTTGACCGAACGTGGTTCATAAATGTTCATAGGCTAGATTGGCCCACAGGATTGTTAAAAGGCCTTTGCGAGATGCTTTTTAGTAGGCTTGCTGAGTCACAAGAGCATCCATGCACTGCCCTGTGAGGATCCAGACCCCACTGTGCGCTGCGCACTGGCGCATGCGAGCACGATTATCTCCCCGTGGGGCGACCCTGCCATGACTGCCGCTGCTCAGCTAGAACTGGGCGCCACGCAATCGTGGATCTCGGAGAGGCTTGGGCAGAGACGGATCTCAGAGGCCTCGAGTGGGTTTTGCAAGCTCATCATTATCTGTACCAGTCCGAGGCATTGAAGCAGGCAATCCTTCAGCAACCCCGGTTTTCCTTTTCGAAAGGAAAGCAAGAAGAGTTCAAGGGACGTTGACCAACATCTCCCTTCCCGGCACTCGAAGCGATGTACGCGTTACAAGAGCTTTTTGGCGCCCAGCAAGAAGTAAGAAGCTGAACCGCTTCCCAGGCACTGGTGGGTCTGCTGCAAGACACCCACGCGGAGGTGCCGGCTTTTCTGTTCGGGATCAGGAGATCTGGGAAGGGTTCTTATGCGCAAGTAGAATAGACGCACCGGGCGGCCCAGAAATGGTGCTGCAATATCAATGCAACCCCTCCGGCTTTCTAGCAGAGGTGCGGGTGCGGGCCGTCATCGCCCTTGGCACCGCAGCTGGGCTGCCTTCGAGGGTTGCAGCCGCGTTCCCCCGATCACTGTTCCGAACAAGTCTTTGCATGTTGCTCTCTAGTACGTTGCTATTTTTGATTCAGTGGGACGTCCCTTAGTCTGCTTCTTGATCTCCCCAGAGGTGGCACGGCCATCGGATCGGGAGACGATCGAGGCCATGGAGGCCTGTGCAGAGGCACGGGGAGCCGGAGAGTCGGGGGACCGGTGCTTCGGTGGTCCTCTGCTTGGCCCCAGGATGCGGATGATCGGGTTCGCTCGGCCGTGCAGCGCTCTTTGGCACTGCTTGCTCCGCCGTCTCTGGAGGAGGCCGCAGGAAAAGCGGCTCAAGGGCTGATGACACAGTGCACCATCCTCTTTAATGAGCAGCTTCTGGCTTCGACATGTCGTGTGCGCTGGAAGGTCACGCTGCCTTCTCCTGAGGCCATCGAAGGAGTCAAGTCCAAGAAGGCCGCATCTTCGATTGAGGAGTTAAGGTTATATCAGCTTGTTATAATGTGCTATATTATATGATGCTATACTATACTATATTATATTATATGATGCTATACTATACTATATTATATTATACTATATTATGTTATATTATATTATATTATATTATATTATATTATATTATATTATATTATATTATCTGTAGTGTCTGCTGGCCTGCAGAGAAGTCTTTGAGGCTTGGAGACCCTGGCCAGGACGTTGAACGGCTAGAGCGGGAGCAGGTTGCATACGAGGAGGCGGGCAGGGAATGACAGAAAAGTGGATCCCCTGAGCACTACCGAGCCTTTTTTGGAGTAAGCATCGGCACCAAGGACAAGAAGCGCCTCACTTCAGTCAAGGAGCAGATCAAGCAGTCCGAAACGTCACTGGTCTCAGACTGGTGTACCGCTCTCTTTCACAATAATTGAATTCTCAGGCTCCTGAAGCGCATGGAATTTCAGCACGAGGCCAGTGTCAGACTAGACGCCCACCCGCCGTTCCACCAGAGAAACAGTCTAAGCACTGCAAGAGACTGGCGCGGCAGGTTCTACAACAGCAGCTTTCCCAGGTGACCTCAGAGCGGGAGGACTATAACTCTTGAAGAACCTCCATGCAGCAAATTTGTTGTGAAACAGTCCGCTGTCGCCAGTTACCCTTTTTTTAGCGGGGCCCCTGCCCTAGTAGCAGCAGCTCGCAATCCTCGTGGCACTGAAGCGCCAGTCAGGGCTGCTACAGATGTCTTTGGCTCTCCGAGCAGGACCTCTACACGAAGTTCCAGCAAGCAATTTACGATGACTGCTACTTAGTCTTTTGTGCCTAGTTGAGGTTTCACAGATTTTGACTTCCGCCATACTTCACCAGCAGGTTCAGCAGCGGAGTGGTCTGAAGAACCTCATCCTTGAGAAAAAGATTGACACCGTAGAAGAGGCCCCGCCAGGGTCTCGCCACATCCGGGCGCCTTAAACGCAGTCTGGAATCCTCGCCAGGCCCTGGAGACAACAGAAGCTCAAATTACAGAGCTGCTGGCATCTGCCAATGCCAGACTCTTAGCCGTCTAGGGTTTAGGGTTTAGGGTTTAAGGGTTTAGGGTTTAAGGGTTTAAGGGCTTCTGGTTTCAAGGGCAGGGCTTAGGGTTCAAGGGTTTAAGAGTCTACCGTTCAGGGTTTAGCCTCAGCTCAGCCGCGTTTGCCGGTGTTTCCCTCTTGAGCTTGCTGTTTCCATACTCCATCCAGACTCATTTACGGATCCCTCAACGGCTATTCAGACAGCTGTTTTTGTGCAAGGCTGTGCATCATTTCTGCTACTTCACAGTCTCCACTCGTTTTGGACTGCTGGTCCTTGTAGGGCCAGGGTCTGCCAGTCCTTTGTGGGTTTGTTCTTCAGGGGGCTTGCAGGTTTAAGGTTTTTTTTTGGTCTGATGCCCCTGTAGGCTTTCTGGTTTCAGCGACAGGGTGTATACTTTAAGGTTTGGGTTGTTAGGTTTCAGGGTTTGGGGTTTGCCGTGCCTTTGGGGGTCTAGGGTTAGCCACGTCACGTCTCGAGTTGAGGTTTTGGTGTTTTGCGCACTTAGTCTTCTGGCTTTGGGGCGCTCCACCGGGACTAGGAGTCAATGAGGCTTGAGGGTCATGCAGCATACTTCACACAGAGTAGCATGATTCACAAGCACTGATTCAGACTTTTCAGGTGTGGAGGTTCGTGTGAAAACCAGTCACATGAGACATCAGCTGGTTCATTGCACGGCCCTAAACCCTAAACCCTAAACAAATAAAAACCCTAAACGCTAAACCCTAAACCCTAAACCCTAAGTCCAGGGGCAATAGGCCAGCTCGGGGAAGTCATGCTCTGACATGTTGCTCCGGATCGCTGATCCCTGGCTGATACGAAGCCTGAGAGCGAGCCGTGGATTCTGCATCCCGGTTGTTTCGAAGATGTGCTGCTTCAAGGTAGCTTAAGTCTTCACTTCTTCGGTGGGAGCGTCGGGTTGCGGTGGCTGCAAAGGGGACGAAGCTTGCTCCATCGGAGTCCCTTAAATACCTTTCGTTTTGCTACTGCGCGGGAACCTCGATGTTAGTCTGTACGGCTTTCGACAGAATTCTGTTTGCTGTACTACCTGCGTCGCATTCTTCTCTAAATTCTGCGGTACGCCAGGGATTTCGGCATGGCCCGTTTTAGGGCCGATGGTTGCCAGTGGTCGCCGCCCTTCCCGTCGGGTGAAGGTTTTGTCCGAATTCGAGAAGGACATTCGCAGAAGGTTGATTCGCAGAGACTGACCAGTTGATGGCTACACGAGACTCATGGCTGGCAAGGTTTATACTTCCCAAACCGGATCTCAACAGCCTAAGATCTCATGCAGCCGAAAACGAGTAATCCCTGGTTGGAAACCGCGGGATCCTCAGCAGATCGCGATGCACGGTGCGCTCGCAGCTGTCTCGAATTTCGTCTTGCACAATCCTTCGCCTCAACATCCTCAAAGAGAGGGGTCATATGGCTTGCGTGTTCAGACTCCAGGATATAATCGGGGGGCTGTTCAGGTGCAGAAGATCTTGCGCTCCAGTCCTCGAGCTGTTGGGCTTGTGATGGCGACAGCCTGTGAGGGGAGGATGCTGCCACCATCAAGAAGCGAGTATCGTCCTCCAAGAAAAGATCGGAGGAGGCTACATGATAGCTGTGTACTGCTGAGAGCAGAAACGGCCAAACTTCGCGAGAGTTCGGGGAATCGAAGACTTTCGTGACGGTTTCGTAAACAGCTGCGAGAAGGTCTGTGTCTGAAGCGTTACCAGCTTCTGGTGATGCGATTGTTATCGTCTTTGGCCTGTTTGGCACAGCCCGAAGCTGCCTGTGCAAGTAACCAAACCCTTGCCACACCAAGGTTGATCCGACAACGAGTGCTGGCATCACTCAGAAGCTGGATCAGGTGGGAATCCTCACTTAGTTTCAGACTCTCGAGCTGCTGAGCTATAACCCTGTCTAGGTGATTGCCTACAAGGACGACATCGTCTCCCAGCTGGAGGATGCCGTTCAAGGGGCCCTAGAAGCGACACGTCAAAGCGAAGTGTCGGATTCTCACAGGAGGAAGTGCAGCGCATCAGGGACTCGCACTCAACAATGGCTCTTGCCTTGGCCTACACTCTCGGTTTTTCCGGGCAGCAGCGGGCTTCTACAATCTCTCGCTCGGGAAGGTCAAGACCTACGAGTCCAAAATGGCAGAGTACGGCGTGCCTCCGGAGGACCTGTTTTGCGCATAGGACGTGACATGATCCCGCACTTGGCCACGGATCTTTGCAGGAGCTCGGCTTCGTCCCAGCGGTTGGATAGGCACTTCCCATGCGAGCTTTCCTTCGTCAAGCTATGCACGCTCACCAGGGCTATTTCGGCCTTCATGTTTTGTGGATTACAAGCTGTTTTAAATGGTGAAAAGCTAAATATCAGCTCAGTTTCCATTGTGATCTGACCCTGGTTGAAGCACTTGTCACCAGTGGAGGGCGAAGCCTTGGCCGCCACGAGTTTCACAACCAATTTGCGGTTTCACGAGCAAAAAAAGTCGAGATTGCCGACTCAAGACCGAATGCCAAGGTGTGGAGCCTGTGCCCGAGTCTGCACTCATGGTACTGAGCCGCACAACGCCCATGGGCTCGTATTTTGGTCATCTGCCCTCACCTTGAAGCAAGTCAAAGATCAAGCCATCCCATCGCAGCCCATGTAGCATAATGTGAGCTCCTAAGACCTCTAGCTGCACTGCCATGGCACCTGCATCGTGAGACAGGCGGCGATGGCAGAGGCCACTTTTGCGATCAATCGCATACAGCCTTCCCAGAAATTGTGCATTCAATGTGTAGCCGGGTCCGCTGCACACGTGTCAGGAGCTCTTCTGCCACTAATGGCCTCTAAAGGCCTGAGGGTGATTGCGACGGTGGCGGTTGTTGCTACTGTTTGCCGTTTTTCCTACGGAATGCTGCGTCCTCATGCAGATTCCTGGACAACGGTAGAGCTGTGCGGATGTGGCGGCAACTTCTTGGTTGCTTTGTATTGTGCCCGGTCATCTGCTCGGAAGCAGCAGTCCACCCGCCACTGCCCGCCACGACCGCTACCCGCCACGCCAACACCGCCACTACAGCCACCCACCCCCACTACCGCCACCGCTATGGCCACCCCCCCCCTTTGCTACCAGCAGCAGGCAGCAGGCAGCAGGCAGCAGGCACCGGCACCGGCAGCAGCAACAGCACCAGCACCAGCTGCGTTCGTCGTGCGTTCCTTGCATGCTCCTTGCTCCAGCTAAGGTGCCATGCGAACTTTGGACATGTCGAACATTGAACGGACGACGCTACATGATGCATGCATTGGCACATTGCAGAGCGTGCTGCGGTCGGCGAGGTAGTCTGAAGGGAAGTCCCATGAACCGATGATTTGTCGAGGCAGAAATGGACCAACCCGCCCCCATGTCGCGGTTCCTCGAGCCGTTTTGCTCACGAAGGAGGCACCGGTTGAGAGAGCGGCTCTGCGCGGGAGACTTACAAAGTGTCGACGAAGAGCTTCTGCCAGGACTTGGAGAACTTCCACAACAATGCCCTATCACGGGACCCTGTCTTGTTATACACGCTGTTAGACATATGCATACATTGACATGTATGATACATGTATGTTCTTTGGCACTGCTGTCTACTCCCTTTGTGGCAAGCTTTCCTGCTCGCTTCGGTGTTTCTTCCGGAGAGTAGCCAAACTAGACTTTTTCACAGACTAGTGGCAGCAATCATCGTTCCTCGACAGGCTTAAGTTTAGCGGCAAGCTGAGGGGGACCGCAACAAAAATAGTCGATTTCGCCTCCAGTTGTGGAAAGCTGTTGGAGAATTACAATTTGCGGGGGCATGCCATGCCCCCACCCAGCCGCACGGAAATGAGGCGAACTCGAGGAAGACTCGATTCTGCAATTCTCCCTGAGCTTGCCAAACATGAGCCTACACTTTGCCAATTCCTTAATGCTGCAACTTGCAGCTCGCCAATCTCGTGCTGCAAAACATGACACTCGAGACCTCACAGCCTCCACAGAACAGGCCAGGCCACGGCCATCATCCTAAACGGGTCCTCCTCCTCCCCCTCCTCCCCCTCCTCGTCCTCATCATCATCATCCTCATCTTCAGCCTCATCCTCATCCTCATCCTCATCCTCATCCTCATCCTCATCCTCATCCTCATCCTCATCATCATCTCCATCTTCGTCATTATCATCATCATCATCATCATCATCATCATCCTCGTTGTTGCCGTCATCATGACAATCATGTCCGTCATCATTTTGCATCATTCTCTCCCACCGTTCACCACGGAAGGTCTACTGTATCATGCATCGCCATCGTTGGCAGCATCACCGTCGTCCTCGCCACCATGATCATCACTAACCATCACGTCGTCCTCATCCTCGTCACTAGGGTCTAGTGTCAATCTCGCAAGGCTTTAAACTTCGCCGGCCAAGCATTACCGTTGAGGTTGACGGTGTGCCTTCTCAACTTTTCGTTTAGGGTTCAGGGTTGGCCCACCCGATTTTGGTCGGGTGATCCTGTGCTCTTGGGATTTGATTCACCGTGCCTCCCTGCCAAAACATGCTCTCTATTTGCCCAGAGAATCTCGCAACATTGTCAGAAATGGAGCGTCGACGGGCTGATTTTTTTTTGGGTTTAGGACTTGGTCCGTGTGTCCCCCGCCTCCCCTCCGCCTTAAAGGTTGATGTGCGACAGTGATGCCGAGAAATGTCCGAGCTGCAGGATTCGATTAGCTCCGTGTTGCCGTTTGGGCCTGCTCGACAATTGTCCGCGGCTCCTGTCGTGTCAGTGCGTCGCTTAGCCATAGCTGAGTTCGGGCTCCCAATTCGACGTGCGTGCGCTCCTGTTTCTCTAACTTGATGGCTGCAATTGAGTCAGGCTCCCTCTTCTGCGGCTGCCAAAGGACAGCTCTTACGACTAGAGCAAGCATGAGTCTACGGGACTGGTGTGCTGGTGCCACGGAGGATCTGCAGCTTCAGGCCAGTCTGGCTGGCCCCCGCCTCCAAGGAGGAGGACGAGGCAGCTGAGCTGGTACTCCACTCGCTGTGAGCAGTTTGTTTGCAAGCAGTTCATCTGAGCAATGGAGTGCAGGGCTCTTACGGCACCTTACGGATTTAATGCACCTCAGCCGAGAGAACGCGTGTCAAGTCAAAGCAAGAGTCACATTTACATAAATCTTATCGACTGACTTCGTTTCTTCGCATACCTTGCACAATGGGGTCTGCTGCTTCGCTCCTGAAAGATGTGGAGCACGCGACGGCTGAACAATTGAGAGCCGCAGCGAGCACGCTCTCTGCCGATGAGCATGCAAAGGTGACTGCAGCTGTTAAACAGCTCCATGCCTTTCGATGCGAGACAGACGTGGGTGCCGTTGTAGCAGTCGCGGGCGAGAACGAAGACGGCGCAGACGAGGCTTTAGCAGCTGAGTTGGAAGAGCAGGAGAAAATGTTCCTGAAATGCTTACGCAAGCGCGCCGAAAGAGAAGCCAAAAAAAAACTGGAAAAGGAGGAGAAGAAAGCTGCAGCTAAGAAGCTGAAAGAAGCGGCTATGGAGGCGGCTTTCGAAAATGAACTAGACAATCTACTGAAGCTGCTGGATGAAGGTGTTGAGCCAGAGTGTGCGGATGAACACGGCACAACTCTTCTCTCTGAAGCCTGTGCTGGCAATGCGCAAGATGTGGCTGAGATGTTGATTGGCGAGGGCTGCGATCCCAACTCGGTCGGCCGCTATCGCCGGACCCCGCCCCATGGTGGCATGTAAGGACATGTAAAGTGTCGTAGAACACGTCTCCATGAGCCAAGAGGTTTTCAGAGAATTCCGCGCCCACAAATAGGTTCGGAAAGAGCGGCTGGCTGCTTCGGAAAACCCCGACGATTCAGAAAACAAATCACACCCGTGTTCATGCTACCCAGGATTGGATCTTGTTTTAGGATTTCAGGTTTGCCGACCAATATCGGGTTTGACAACCAAGATCTTCCTCTTTGAGGGCGTGGTGTTTTTGGTCCAGTCTTGTGAGGGATTGTCAACCAATATCTTATTCTTTTATCTTGTTTTGAGGTTTGGGATTTGCCACATGCGATCTTCTTTCGAGGGGTTTGGGGTTTTTCAATCAATATCTCCTTTTAAGGCTTTCGCGTTCGCGGCCCCCCACGGTCTTTTTAGGGTTTGAGGTCTGGCTACAAATGTGATTTGCTAATCATTTTGCTCTCGTTCCTGCAATCACTCCCTAATTGTGGGGATTCTTCGTCCAAATTGTTCGAATTTGCCGCCCTTGAATTCTGAAGTTTTTTTCCTGAACTTCGGTTGCTTTCAGAATCGCCATTATTTGCTTTCGAAATGGTTCTGCGAGTCATCCTCCGCTGTCTTTGAAGCGGGATGAGGACTCAGTCAGTTCAGGCTTTGGCGCGCGGCCTATGCTGGCAATCACGAACTTATCCGTCAGCTGCTGCGGTCGGGTGGTGATCCACGGGAGTGCGACGAGCAAGGGGCCCGGCCCATTGATGTAGCAAGCAATCCCCAGTCGCGTGAGTATTTGGTATGTTGGGACCCAGCGTCCACGGACCGCATCAAAGACGACAAGAGAAAGGCTGCCAAGAATGCAGAGAAGGAGGAGAAGGCGAAGTTCAAGAGGCAGCAGCAAGAGCTGGTGGATTCCCTGGAAGAGTCCGAGCGCCGGATGCAGGTGTCGAAGAGCGAGCTTGCAAGGGCTCGAAAATTGTTGGTCGACTATCGCCAGCAGAAGGTATCCTTTGTCGAGCAGGGAGCCTCAGAGAAGCTGGCGGAACTGGAGCCGCTCATCGAGTCAGCGGAAGCACAGGTAAAACTCTTCGAAGGCAGTGTGCAGGAATGGGAATGGAAGGCTTCTCGGGCCAGGTTAAAGATGAACGACCTCGAGCAGGCCAAGAAGGAGAAGGAAGCCAAAGCCGCTGGAAAGCTGCGAGGCTTCAAGGTGCAGGTCAACTGCGCTTCCTTGGAGGAGCTCGAGTCCGTCCTGCCGAAGTTGAGCAACACGCTGGAGGCGGCTCTGCTTTTCCCAAGGGCATCTCGGATGTTGGGTTCTCGTTTCGGTTAGTGCGGGGAATTTTCTTGCAGGGTGCAGGGCGGCATTGTGGGGCGCGGCACTATACTCGTGGGATCGGGATAGTGCGCGATGCGCGGGGGCTCGAGCAGGATTATACATGTGGGGTAGTTGCGTGTCGGGTACGTGCAGCCTTCGCGCCATTTGTGTTGACGGTGCTTGGCCTCACGCCACCCCCTTCCACCCGACCCCACCGCAACAGGCAATCTAAATTCCAGAAGGCAGATGAAACTGCGGCCGCAGCGTGCCGGTGGTGTCCGGCACAGATGTGTGCGGGCAGCATTTGCATGCGGGATGTGTGCAGCTAGACGTAGGGTACACACAAGCGTATAGAACCGGAGATTTCATTCGGTGCCTTTGTGCTCCGGAGTCTTTGCGTTCCTGCCTCCACCTTGTTTTGAACATGGTCGCGGAATGAACAATTTAAAAAGAGCAGCCAAGCTGGAACATCCGCCAAACACTGCATACTGTAACAGGCACCCTCCGATGCTAAAGGCTGAGTGAATAACTCTCGTTGAGCATGATGTGCTTCTCCTTCACACAGGTGAGCGAAGACTTTGCTTGGAACGACATCGATCTTGTGAAGGGGGATGCGCTGATCAAGGATGGGCCTTTCATCCATCTCAAAACGAGCCGCCAGACTGTACCCATGCCCCCGGCAGACAAGAATCCCTTCGTGTATACTCTTTTCCGGGACACAGCAGGAAGCAGTAATATTCTCAGCGACTTGAGATTCCTAGGACCCTGAAGTGTGTTCCCGTAGTCACAGGAAGGATATGCAAATGGCTCAGGTGAGTTCAACAAGCAGTTCCTTCAGGGCTACGGCAAGCCGCTTCCGGCGGAAGAGGCTGAAGCTCAGACTGAAGGCCAGTCGAGAAGAGTCACCCTGGACCTCAAACCCTGAACCCTTTTAGGCCCGAAACCCGAAACCCTCCCCGGCTTCCCCAGCAAGCGCACATAATTTGGATTACCGTGAAAAGGGTGATCCACACTCCAAGGGCCCCGTTTGTGTCCCGTTTACAGGAGAAGAGAAAGAGGAACCCTTTCCGCTGATCCTCAACTTCTCCAGGGGCTTCAACCGCACGGTTCCCATCAAAGCCATTGCAGATGCTCTGTCAAAACTGCGTAGATTTTTCTTGCGCTTCTTCAGAGTCAGGCAAGTAGTTTTGTTTAAGACTGTTTAGGATGCAGCATCTCAGGATGTGATGCTGAAAGATGTTGGCGGCTTGAGAGCGGAGGATGGCCGGTGGCCGTTCGTCATAGACCCCTCCGGTCGCACTTCCACCTTCATCAAGTACTCGGGTGCGGCAGTTGCTAAGCCGCAGTCTGGGAGGCTTTTGTTCCGGTCAGTCTGAGTTCTGTTGAGCAAACATGAAGGTTTTCAACATCGTCGAGCTTAAGGACGTTGGTTTTCTGCACACTCGGCGAAACTAGCTGCGTGCACCTGTTGCTGAGCAGGACATGGAGCCACTTCGGCTGCGACGAGCTTTCTTGAATTCCCTCATCCACGGCGGTGCCATTCTGATAGATCTTGGAAGCTTCGTCCAAGCCTCAGGTAACCATCGAATGTTCTAAGCAGTGCCAAGCAGTCGAAACTTGCCCTGCTCCGACGAGCGGAGACATGAAAAGGACACAAAGATTGATGTGGTGGCTGATAAGTTCAATGACCTTGAGAAAGGGCTCTTTGCCAAACTTCTCGACCGTGCCGTTCTGCAGCTCGGTTGGGTTGTGATCATGAGAACCATCATCCTGCAGCAAGCGTGGTACAGCCTGCGCAGTTGGAGCTGCAGCTGCCAGCCTGCTGGAGGTATGCCTATCTGCTACCGCGGCGCTTTAAAAGCTTGATTGTGAAGGACTGCCTTGGCAGTAGTGGAGTTGGTTCTTGTATTCTTGAAAAGTTAAGCATGCCTTGGTCCAGGAGATCGCGCAGGATTTTCAGATAAGTGCCTTCATGGACGCAGCACTGTCGAAGTTGCACAGCGGCACTTGTATGCCAACAAGCAGAGCGTGCGGCTTGTTTGTTGGATTGAGTCGAGTGTGTGTCAAGGTTTGTGTTCGGCTTTGTCACCTCGTACCGGGATCCTGATCTGGACTTTGCCAAGCAGTCACTCGGAAGCAAGACGGATTGGATTTTCTCGTGCACTTGCGACATTGGCCAGATCCCCGAGGTTTTACACGATCAGTGTCAAAGGAGGAGACGAGGAAGATAGCTGAGAGCGGTGCACCGCAGTGGATTCCTCTGACCTTCCGACGGCCCCGTGCAGTAATTCGTAGTGAGAGCACGACACCCAAAGCTGGTGGACCCTTGACAAGGAAAACCAGAGCCTCCGAAACAGCACAAAGGGCATATCGAAGTGGAATCCTGGAAAACCGGGCAAGCGACTCTTTTCAGGTCTGCTTCGGCTCGCCGCGGAGCGAACCTGGACATGCCGGGTCCCGAGTCCCCGAGCGCTGAAGCGAAAGTGGTTGAGCCCAGGTCGCCGGTGATTCCGACAGGCCTTCCCTGCCCAGAAGCAACGCCCGCCGGCCGCCCAGAGTTTCAACGAAGCCTCGGGGCCCATCACTGTCAATCATTTCGGGACAATATCTCGGTGGGCATGTTGGCATATGTGGGCATGTGGCGGGAAGTGCTGCTTCGCAGGGCAACAACATGGTCTTTTACGGTGCGTCCGCAGCGCCAAGTTGCAGAGAAGCGGCCTTGGCTGCAGCGAAACAGAGTGCAGCCCTCGGAAGCCCTGGGCCTCGGTGTCGATCTCGGGTTTCTTCGGGCCCCCAACCAGGCTTGGTGGCATCGCATGGCATCAAAAAGCCTTCACGGGTGGTGCGGGCCAAGACACTTGCACTGGCCTCAAGTTTTGGTCTTGAGAGCCGGCTGCCTTGTGATCACGGCTTTGTTCCCAGTCCCGCATGGATCGCATCAGCCCGGAGCCTTCTGCAACTGCGGGAGGCAGCCTCTTGGCCACTCCGCCCTTCGTTAGACTGTGTCCATCGCAGGTGAGAGCGATCTGGTGCTGCAAGGCCACCACCCTCAAAGGCTACTGCCAGAACTTTTGGCTCATGCGTGGTTTCAGTGCAGTGGCTTTGCTGTGGCCTTGGTCTGTCAGGATATTGAACAACCGGGACATCCGCCAAGCAATCCCCGAGGCAGCATCTTTTCCAGCTTCCTACGTAGTCATTATGAGGAACGTGTCAAGATATACGCGATGAGGGCTGGGAATCACCACGACGGTGGTTGCCACAAGCACTTGTCATTTGCTGGCACAGGTCTCCCCAACAGCCGCAGATTCGAGCCCAGACGCTGTTGCTCCCAGCATTGTCCGGTGCTCAGTCAGCGCACTGCATGTATGGGTTGTGAAATTCCTACCAAGGGCGCCTTTCTTGGCTGGACTCCTCTGCTCGTCACTTTGGCAAAGATTAATATATACCAGGCAAGAAGACTCATGGTGACGCCAGCTCCACACGATCAGGTCAGTGGGCATGCAGCTGCAAGCCCTTTCTGCCCTCCGGAGAGCTCGGAAGCTCCATGGGAGGACGCCGCAAAAACAAGCTGTGCACTTTCTCACATTTGGTCGCAGTTGTGGCAGGAGGAAGAATGGTCTGCCAGCGAGGCAGAAGGCAGTGAAGCGGAGTTCGACTATCGCCAATACAGGTATCGGGAGGTGGTGGCTCGCAGACCCGAGAATGCACCGGACGTCGGTGTGCGACGGAAGGTTCGACGGGGGCACCGTTCCGCCAATACAGAGATGATAAATTCGGATGATGATGCGGTGGATGCATGGAATACCCATTCCAACAACCAGCCAGAAGACGCCGGTCTTCTCGCGCCCTCCAGCCGGCTGCTTGCAGATAGTGAGAACTATTTGGATTCACCTTGTGACGAGGAGCTGTCAAAAGTTGCCGGTGTTTTAGTTCAATTTTACGGCCTCGGCAAGGAGGCCATCAAGTTCAAAGGAGCTATTCCCAACGTGCTCCTTGTGTCGAAGGAAGCTTGGAGTTGCAGGGGTCGCAGAGACAGCCAGGCAGAGGAACCACCGGTCCTTTGGATAAGAGGTGGACGAGTATACGACTTCCATGGTGACCGTGGCACCGTTGCAGAATTTGAGCACGATCTTCTTGTGCGTCAGGTGGAGGATGATGCAATTTGCCGCCAAAGGCGGCAGAAGCAAGGGCTCATGCCCTTTCCGTTTGCGGCCTTGCCCCTGAAAGACAAGGCAAGTGACGAGCAAGACGATGCAGAGGCTGTCGCCGCTCGTGACGTCCGAAGGCGGATATAAGCTTTACCACGCGATTTTAGTTGGTGGAGTTCCTGCGCAGCCCCAATGCAGAGCAGAACTTATGAAGCCTACCAGTGCAGGTACGCCACCATGCATTTGCAACAGAGTGTTGTGCACCGGGTAAATGCCAGTGCCGCGTTTAGTTTCACCAGGCTTTTTTCGGTCCAAAGCCGTTCGAAGGTTGTAAAAAGCCTTGCCGTGGTGATCTTTCCGGATGGGGTACCTTCTGATTCTAATGCGATTCTAGTCTGCAGAGGCGGCATAGGTGTTGTCGACCCGATCAGGTCCGCTCTGGTGCCAGACTCTGCCAGACCTTACTTTTGCTTCCTTTGGCTCGGCAATATCACTAGCCGGGCCCAGCGGGTGAAAACTGCGCCGACGCTGCGGACGCTCTTCTTGAGCCCTTCGCTTGGGCTCAGAGGGAGAGAGACAGCCTCAGACAGAAAGCGAAGGAGGGACGCTACACATCAAACCCGAAACAAACAATCAAGCACGCACGGGGCCAGATGCAAAACAGAATGAAGCGATTTGACAGCGCGACATGGAGAGGCTTTTCTCCTCAATGCTGTCTGCAGACGCATGGAGGATCTAAGTTTCTAATGCTACCTGTGAAGGACTTGGCTTGAAGTCATGTGGAGTCCCACGCGTGATCATGGCCTGAACAGGCGCAAAAACGGAGAGAGCGGCAACCACCACGCTGACATACTGTAGCAGTGCCAATAGCAATCAAAAGACCAACCCGTGGGCACCAGCAGGAGGATACAACGAAAGGAAATGGTCGCGAAATAGTGCGCCGATCCCAGTCAAGATGGGAAGCTATCGCTTTGTGGGATGAATTTCTTCGCCTCTATAGGGAGAGACGTGCTGCAGCGGCAAGTCCAGGATCAGAGTCTTCGTGCTGCATGTGTTACACATTTGCGCACACGTGATCTTTGGTGTGGGAGGAGGTCAAAGTATCAAGAGCTTGTGCTAGGGAACTGCAAAATGCTACTGGTCCCTTGAAGAGCCATCGGGAAAAACGAGAGAGAGGTCTGTTGCAACTCTCTGCATCTCTAAGGGCTGGTTCTGCTTCTGCTCAGGCCAAGTGATGGGAAAGTCGAACAAGAGCTTCTCGGTATGTCAGTTTTGACTCATCTGGGCGTCCTTGGACCGCATCCTGGGTTTGTCTTGAGGAAAGGCCACAGGTGGTGGCAAGTCGTTGCCTGAGAGCGGTGTCGTGGGGCTCGGGACTTATTCGGTGTCTGTTAGGCGACCCGGGAAGAAAAAGGCGGGCGGCGCCGATTTCTCCGAGGACGACTTGGAGGAGGCCAGTGTTGCTTTTCCAACTCTCCTGCAGGCGGTGGACGGGCTGTTGTGGGACTTATTTGGACTCGGGGTTGCGGCGGCACTTTCCTTGGGACCGTCCTTGGTCTGGCTCCAGCACTCCAGCTCCAACATGAGAAGCCTTGACAGATTCGAACGTCTTCCATCGACATTTACAGTCTTCCAGCGACATTTCACAGTGTTGCTCTTCATGCAAGCAATGCTTCGAGTGCTTCTCAAAGACGGTAGCTGCCAATGTCACGAGCCTTATAGCTGCGACGAGCCTCTTGCCATCTTGAATCTTGCCCCCTTGCCGACTTTTCCATGTATCCGGCAATCTCGTCCGGCTCCGGTGATGTTCCGGAGGAGGCGCCAGGCTTCAGGCGATACACCTACCGAGAGCGCCTCGGGCCTTGAATGCTTCAGCCGCTGAAAGGCAAGGCGAAAGAGGCTGTGAGTTGGTAATGGTAGTCATATGTAGTAGAAGCCTTGCCTGAATCGAGAAACCGTAAACGGGAGGTTTTCGGAGCGCATAGCAACGAGCAACGGCAGTAGAATCTTGCTCAAATTCCTTCATCATCTCTTTATTCTTTTGTGTGCTGCAGCTTCTTCCGCAGCATCACAAGAACGGTTTGTCCCGCAAGGTTCGGCGAGGAATGCACAGCTGAATTCGACGATGCGCACCTCGCATGGAGTGGCACCTTCGAGTCGAATACCTCGACGGCACATGGCGAGTACCAGGACCGCTTGCGAGCCATCCATCTTCGGAAGCAGGGCTGGTCGAAGGCAGACATCGCGAAGGATGTCGGACGCTCTGAACGATTTGTAGCCCGCTGGTGGCAGCTGGAGCCGTTGGCAGTGCCAAGACCTCCAGGGGTCCACCAATACTTGGCGCACACAATGGCAGGTGGCAAACAGGCAGACCGCACTCACATGTGGCGTGGAGTTGAAGTCTTGCGAGGTTTTTTTACAGACACAGCTGGGCTGTACGACGAGATCGTCTCTGGCTTCACGGCTTGGAAACAGGGTGCATCGGAAACAAAGGATTTCCGAACAGCTTCCTACTTCCTTCGCTACGACCGAGAAGGCAAAATGAAGATGATGACCATGAAATCAGCTTCGTACCAGCGCTCAGTGGTCCCCAGATTGGACTTATTGGTGCAAAAGATTCACCAAAAGGTCGGGATTCAAGATCCTGATCATGGCGCAGCCATGTACTGGTTTTCGGATGGCGATGCGAGTGTTGGCAGCCACCGGCATGTTTTCTGGAGTGCGCGAGTTGCTCTCGGGGCTGAGCGAATAATGATGGTGGACAAGGTCCCTATACTTATGCAGGAAGGAGACCTGATCGTTATCGGTCCCCAGCGTCATGGGGTTCCTACCATGCCGGACATCAGCGAAGGAAGCCTTCGCATTTCAGTTCCTTTCACGCCGCAGAAGCGCGACAGCAAACGCCTGCATCAAGCCCCGTCAGCACAGACCGAAGATGCAGAAGGTGAGGAGGACGACGAGCGGTGGTATCCTGTGCAGGGAGATGCTGACTGGGAAGATGGCGAAGATGCAAACGCAGACGACGGGGGCGATAGGGGGTTGCAGACTCTCATGGACATGGGCTTTGATGCTGATGCATCTCGCAGTGCTCTTGAGCTCTGCGGAGATGTGGAGCAGGCCATCGAAGCACTGACCGGTGGATTTGCCGAGCTGCTCGGCAATTCACGTGCAGAGGATGTTGACGATGAGGCTTATGCAGACATGGATGCGGGCGATGCGGTTCTTGCGCGAAAGCTTCAGATGGAGGAGCTTCAGCGAGAAAGTCCCGATCAGCTTCAACAGCAGTTCGACGAGTACCAAAAGCTGCTCGATGTGGACGATGCAGAAAAAGCCTGGGACGGATACGGTGATTTGATGCACAACTCGTTCCGAAGAGCCAATCTAAATTTGGACATGCTTGGTGCCCAAACCATATACTCTCTTGGCGTCGCAGCTCAAACAGAGAAGCAGTTCTTCGAGCTTTTATCATTACATTCTATTCGAGTTGTGTATGATTTTCGGCCGACGGACTATCGTGACGAGGTTCGATGCCAGCAGCCACATTTTGAGATCCGAGTCTTGAAATCCAACTGCCGCCAGCGTGGCATTCACTATCGTCACGTTGCGGTAGGACGGGAGACAGCATGGGGTACACTGAAGCACTTGCAGAGTGATGAGGTTCAGCACGTTCTCGTGGAATTGGTGTGGCGAGCCAAGCACCATGGTCGGACCGCTTTTTTGGGTCAAGAAGAAGATTGGCGTGCTGACGGCCGTCTGGCCGTTGCCGAAGAGCTTGAGAAGCATGGTCACGCGGTGCAGCACGTCAGATCCGAGGGGTCTCTGGAGAGGCATCCAGTTGGTGTTGAGATACCAGACTTCCTTCTTCAGGAGGAATCTCGACTAAGAAAAGTGCATGCACAACGGAAGGCGGGAGAACTCCACAGGCCAGAGAAGTCTGCTGTGAACCGCAGCTTGGAGTCTGTGGCTCGGTCTTTGGCGACGGAGAAGACCCAGGTAGATGTCGGCGCAGAGCTTCGGGATGCCGAGAACCAAACGGATCTGGTGCGAGCGCAGAAGCGCATGGTACGCTTGCAGATGTCCGAGAGCAAGAAGGAGGCCGGACTGAGCAAGAAAGAGCTTGTGGCCGTGCCTACGCACATCGCCAGAGAGGCAGCAAGCATCAGGGAGAAAGTGGAGGCTAAGCAGAAGGAAAAACTGCAGAGCAAGGCTATGGAAAGCGTGCAGGGAAGTACGGGAGCCAGTAGCTCGCACGAAACTGTTACGGAGCTAGCACAAGCTTCAAGCGCCGAGACGGCCGCTTCCACTGCCTACCCACAAGGGGAGGTCTCGGCAAGTCGCCGAAGCCGATGGAGCCCAGCAGCCGCTGCCGTGGCTGCTGCGTCGCCACCGGAGACGGCCTCAGCCTCGAGGAGCCGTTGGGACAGGCGGAGAGAAAGAAGAGATGCTGAGAAGGACGAGCCGGAGACGTGAGGAGCATCTGACTCCATGACTCATCACACCGACCCCGACCCTCTCGTCGTCGTGTCCTTGCGGAGATTCCTCTGTCGAGATGTAGATTCTGGAAGTGCCGGCCTCCTTCAGCAAAGGATGTGGCCTTCTGCGGCACATGGTCAAGTCCGTTCGGAATTCTGCGACACATGGTGGAGCCGGTTCGGAGGAAGCAGCTGCAGCCGAAGCAGAAGGGGCAGGGAGGAATCTAGCTGTCCAAGTGCTTCAGGACAGGCTCGCCACCGCTCCTTAATGGCTGCTTGGCCGTCGCGATCATCGTGGGCTCGGAAAGGAAAAAGACAGCGCGGGCGCAGCAAACGTGTCCTGTGGTTTGGAGCCTGCGGACTTTCAAGTTCCGTACCCCGACAGCAGGGCTTTTCTTTTACTGCTGTGCGCGTTGTCAGGAGCAGCAATTCACCGCAGCGGATCTGGACGTGGATGCCGTCAAGGCAGAAGCAGCCGAGCAAGAGCAAGAGGAGAAGGAGCCTGCATTTCATTGCACAGCCTAAATTTGCCTAAATGCCTCTTGCGAACTTGTGCTGCAAAAGGACAATGGTGATGAGGAGGCCAGATCACGACTCGATTGTCTTGTCCGTGGTCCTTCTTTGGCCCATTGCTTTTGGTCGAGATCTGAAGCTCAACGCATAGGGACATGCACACACACTTAAGTCGCGAGTTTTGGAAGCTGAGATAGTGACTACGGCGAGGGCATGCAGCAAGTCATGTAAGCCTAGCTTCCGTTGAAGTATCTCCTATTCTCCCTACCTGTAGTGGAATTGCAAGCCCAAATAGTGCCATCAGCTGGCGACAGCCCGCAAGACGTTCTTGCCAGCAGCCGCTAGCCATGGGATGGCAGCCACGAACTCAGCATCACGTTTCGAGTGAAGATGAGTCAGAACTAGCACTTGGTCGCCGGGGCCGTTCAATGGGAAGCTTTTTGCCGTGCTGTTCTTGGGCATGTCAGTGATGGTGTGGAGGCACGGAGCATACGACTCATCGCATGTGCTGCTGCAGCGAGAGTCTCTGGTCGGCTTGCCTCCACGGGCCGTTCACCAATAAAGGGACTCAGGCTTTGCACCTCTGGGTTCTGGCTGAGGCAAGCAGAGCTGTGCCCTCGCTTGCCTTCAACGGTTGTGATGGAACCTTCAGCGCGATGCCTGGGTTCAGTCTGGCAAGTGTTGCATTCTCAGAAAGATCGAAGTCTTGTCTGGGTCAGGCCGAACAAAGAAGGACACCTGGGATGAGGTCAAGTATATCCTGGAGATTGACATGGCAGGCTTTGGGTTTTGGTGTGTTCGGTCATTTAAGGTGGAAGCGACTCATTGCTTGTTGCAAGATGAGGAAATTGAACTCACCACGAGTGGACATTCTGAATATATGGCCCAGCACAAGCAGCATCACTGCCATGAAATAGCCTTGGGAGCCGCCTAAGATGCAACCACGCCATGCCCTCAGCCAGCACATGGTTTGAGGCAGAGAGGATGGCCGCAGCGTGGATCCGAGATCTGTCTGACTGGCATGTTTCAAAAAGAGGCGAGGCAGCGGCAGACTGCTTGAGCCACACAGGATCCTTGTGCTTTCAAAATCTTCAGGACAACTTGAACGAATTCCGTCAGATCATGAACCGCGAGGCAACGAGTTGTATCTGTCGGCTTCGGTGCACGATTACTTTCGTGACAGGTGCTTCCAGACCTCGATAATGCCGTCAAGGAACACTCTCTGTGCAATTTGTGCCCTCCTATGCATTCCATGCATGCAGGACTGTGTGTTCGGCGTTATTTCTCTCATCTGGTTGACGCTCGCCCTGGTCGACTCCGAGGAGCCCGCAATCCATCTCGAGACAGGCTCCTCTGCACCCGGGCAGGAGGGTTTGGAACGAGCGCGGGAACTGGAGGCTTAGACTATCGATTGCAGTATCTGAACCTGCAGCTCGTTCTTGGTAAGGCCATTGCTGACGGCTTGTTCTTCCAGTTTTCAGAGCTCGTCGAGGATGGCTGCTCACCAAAAGTTGGAGAAGATTTTCGAGATCTGTCGATGCCCAGGAATCTGGCTGGCCGCTTGATCCAACGAAGTTTTTCAGCTACAGGCCGAACACGAGCTTGTATTGCCTGTTGCAGCGCCCGATCCAGAGAGAGAGAGAGAGAGATTCCCCTTTCCAGTTCCAGAACAGCTGAGCCTTCCGGGGGAAATGCCTGTGAAGGAAGCAAGACACCCGAGGACTGCTCGCGCGCGAGGTTCGGGGCTGGACGCTCCCTGGGCCTCCCACCTGGTGGAGAGAGACAGAGAGAGACAGAGAGAGAGAGAGAGACGGCGTAGGGGCAAACCCCTTGCACCACAACCCTGGCGAAAGAAAGAGATTCGCCCATTCCTTTGACTCCCTTGACTGTGCTGAAGAAGAAGAAGAGGGGAGAGCAAGACATGTTGTTCTGCAGCCTAAAAGCTGCACCAAAGACTCTCTACCAACGGGAACCAATGGGTATTGTATATGTGGATCATTCCAGCTACCGCTGTTTTCACTTTCAAGAGAACAAGCATGGGCACTTCTTCACAAGGTGGCATGTCCTGCGGCGCAGGCAGCTTCTTGGACATGAAGACAACGAATGTGGGGGATCGCAACTGCGTGCAACTCGCTTACATCGGCAAACAATGCTTGACTTTGGTTGCGTGCCGGTGGCGAGATCTTGGAAGCCAGCTGTCACATATGCCATGACAAGGTCTTTATGTACAATTCCACCTCGGACTTGACACAGCGGCGATTGATTACAGGCGCTGTGAGCCAGCCGACGAAGAGCTTTCTGTGAGCATGAGCCGTGCAGATGAGAAGGCTCCGGGATGATGGCTGCAGCAACTCACATACATTCCTACCTGCAGCGTGCCTCCTGCGTCGTGCAGGCTCGGCAACCGCCTTTCTTACAGCACAACGCCTCAATACTGATGCATCCAAGGATCCGGAGACTGCAGACCTCTTCTTCATTCCAGCTTACCATGGCGACCAGTGACCCTGGCAATGGTTTCGCGCGTGGTAGAAGGCACTTCGAGGCACGCAGCGCTGCAGTGAAACAGGTACAACAATTTCCTTGAGAAACGTGCTCATGCAGACGACTCTGAGCACATGCCTCAAGTTCAGTATGACCCACGAAGCAGCTGCATCAAGTGGTGTCTGCCAGATTCTCGCATCTTGCGCGGCGGCGAGGACAAGATCATTTCTTTGTCGTCTCGGTGCGCGTGGACAGATCTGATGCAACATCGGCCACTCGCAAAGGGCGTTTGTCGCGCTCGCGTAAGGCGAACCTGCCGTCTTGGAAACATCTTGCTCCACTTCGCAACGCAATTCTCCTCACAGTGACGGCCTCAAGAGAATTGTGACCTGCATCGTGTGCGGCCAGCTGTCCTTATGTATTTAGCATGTCCACTGACATTGCACATCCTCTGTCTATGATAGTCGTGATCAGTGAAGTTGAGCCGGCCCGTTCGGGACCGTTGCACTTCTTTTAAGTTCTTTTAGCAGGATGCCTCGCGTTACTCCGTGTATGCTACTACCAAGCAGTGGTGCACCTTGTTGTTAACTTTGGGATGCTTTAAATCTACCCGCGGTTTCTACAATGGCAGCTGCAGCCCTGCATCAGCAGACGTCTGACTTGAGCGCAGTGGCCTCTCAGTGCCATGCCTCGACCAGAGCCCGACCGGCACCGAGGCGAATCAAATACACAAGGAGAAATCATGTCAGGGAGTAAGCGAACAAATGCTGGGCGGGCCAGGAGCCGACAAGCAGATTAGCTATGTCGCAATAGTTTTGGCGATTCCATCTCGAACCCTCAGGACCAGTCTAGAATTGTGCTGTCGGATTACCGAACCCTCAGAACCAGTTTAGAATTGTGCTGTCGGATGACGAACAGCGAATAGGTCTTGCTGGAATAATCACCATGAGGGGAGACCCTTCTGTCTCGTGGCTGCATCATGCTGTATGAAGACAGACCACTGCCGCACGTAACCATGCCGACGGCTGATGCTCTCATCGACGGCTGATGCTCTCATCCACGCGTCAAACTGCGGAGAGTCGTTGCAGCAATGCAGACGGAGCTGGTTTCCTGAGTTTCCATATATTTGCACCGAGTTTCGTCGAAACTCGTCGCACGGAGAAGTGGTTTCATGTTAAGCAGATCTACAGGAAAGTGCCACGTTGTCCAACTGAGTCATGACTGTCATCACTGTCATGCGGAGGTTGAATCTTGGCAAATCAATGATGATCTTCCGCGGTTCACCTCTTAGATTCCTGCTCTCGGTGTGTGAGCCGTCTTCGTCAGCTCCGTCTGGCAAGAACAGGTGGTATTCGCCCTGGAAGGACATCATGATACCAGGTTACATTGACCGCTGCTCCCTAAGCACAGAGGAGCCCAGACGCTGCAGGTCCTTTCCCCTCGTTGTTTGCTTTTGGTTCAAGTATCTCCGTTCAGATTTGTCCTCTTTCATTCCGAACTGTTGTGCGTTTTTTGGGCGACCCAGGTTGGCGGATTGACGCGATGCGGATGGTCAACAAACCCACGAATGAGCGCGGTTTCCTGTGCCCAGCTTGCACTGTTGTAGCAGTAGGTCGGCCTTCCTTTTTATGATGCTCTGCCCTGCGCCCAAGGATGGTGTTTCATGGGAATCATCCTGGGAATCACGGCCTCTACGTGGCACACAAGGCTAAGGCTCCGCCTGTTGGGACGACATTCGAAAAGTAGCTCCGGGAAAGGTTCTGGAGCTTCTCAGGATGTCAATGCGAACCTGTCAATATGTTAAGTTTAATATGAGAAAACATAATGTCATAATAACAACAGCAATTAAAGGAATAATGTTTACATCAGGGTTTAAGTATAATAGCAACACCAATAGTACCAACAATAACAATTACAACAATAACCATAATCAATATACTGATAACGGTCTTACTAATAGTCATAATAGCAATCACAACAGTAATCACCATCGTCATCAGCAGAAAACTCTGGGTAGCCATTGGCTCAACCAGCTGCCTTGCGGCTGGCTTGTTGTTAACGTAGTAGGCAGCAGGCGCCTGTTGCCTTCGATGACCAACTAGGCCGGGTCGTCTCAGAACTGAACAGATAAGTTCGATGATAGCCAGGTTTGGAAGTCAAGTGCTCTGGAGTCAGGTGGACACACTGCCTTGTGTGTGATGACAAACTGTGTTTCGACCGTGCTCTTCCTGGCCTTCGGCCTTGTGGCTTGCACCCCAGCCGTTCCAGCAGCTTACGAGCCTGAAGCTGCGACGCCCAGCGACACTGCCGAGGCAGTGCATGCAACAGCCCCTCAGAAGGAGCGATTTTGCCGTTGATCTTGTTATTTTGTGTGTGTGTACATGTGAACCGCTACCGCTACAGTTTCCTCCCGCAACAGAGTACATTCCGAAGGGCGCATGCATGTGTGGGCATGAACTGCGCGGGAGGTTCGGCCAAGCCTGCGGCAGGCCAACCAGGCCTCTGAGCATCTTTGAGCCTTGCTCACCGTTGACTGCCTTTTAGTCCGTGGCTTCTGGTAACAGAGGTGCATACCGTGGCCGCCGCGAAAGGTGTGCCGAGGCAGGTCGCATTTCGTCATCGTCGAGCTTCGAGTGGAGCAACTTTGGAGTGCTTGCATCGCTGCTCTTTGGAGGCTCTTTGGACGCAGCTTCCATGATGCCCCGGTCGGGAATGCGGACTGGGTGCCACCGGCAGGATTTTGGTTCGTGGCTTCACCGCTGTTGTTTGATTTTGAACCCTTTCTGGTCGCGAGGTGAATCATAAGCCACGCATCTTCGTGCTGGGAGACATGGATCCAACTGTCAGATCCTAAGTCATCCTAAGTCCTGAGACAACGATGCAAATCATTCCTGTTTCGAGTCGGCGTCGCATGGGTTCGCCACTCTCTTCCTCTTGCGGCCCTGCACATGCGCTCTTAGCTCCCTTTTAAACTCCAGCCTTTCCGGTTTAATGTGTTGCTGATCTCAGTCTTTGGTGGGTTTCCGGGTGTGTCACCCCTTTCCATTCTTCCCTCCTCGCAGGTTGAGACTTTTCCGAAGCACATCTGGTTCGGGTTGTGCACTCCCTTTTTTTTGGGGGGGCATTGGGTTTTCCAGGCAAGGGTCTTCGTTTCGTGCTTGAGGTGTTGCCACTCCCACTCGTTCGGGGTTCAGGGCTTCTTGCTGGATGTCATCCTCACTTCTTTCACGCTTTGGCCTTGCTCTCCCAGCCGCTCCTCGCATGGTTCAGGTTTCGCACCACTCCGTCCGTACGTAGCTTGTCTGTCACCCTGTTTGGCTTCCTTGCTGCTTGCTCGTTCACAGGTTCGGGGTCTCTGGTTTAATCTTACAAGCCTCTGCAGAACACACCGTGCAGTGTGCCTCTCCTTGCCCGAGTTAGTTGACTCTGTCCAGTTGGAGGTTTTTGCTGATGGGTGTCTTCGGTTGCGGGATAAACTTGGCTTGCTTCTTGTAGGTGTCGGTACGTCTCAGACAAGTGCGGCCGGAAGAAGAGCACCTTCTCATTGGACTTTTCATGTTTGTCGTCGTTGACTCTACATCTCCCGATGTCTTCTATTAGCTTCTTAACAGTAATAAGAGCCATAAGAAAAAGAAGAGCAACAAGAGCAGTAATACTAGCAAAAGTAGAAATAGTAGTACTGGAAGCAGCAGTAGTAGTAGTCGTCGTCGTCGTAGTCGTAGTCGTAGTCGTAGTCGTAGTCGTAGTCGTAGTCGTAGTAGTAGTAGTAGTAGTAGTAGTCGTCGTAGTCGTCGTAGTTGTAGTGGTAGTGGTAGTGGTAGTGGTAGTAGTAGTAGTAGTAGTAGTAGTAGTAGTAGCAGTCGTAGCAGTCGTAGGTAGTAGTAGTAGTAGTAGTAGTAGTAGTAGTGGTAGTGGTAGTGGTAGTGGTAGTGGTAGTGGTAGTGGTAGTGGTAGTGGTAGTGGTAGTAGTGGTGTTGGCAGTGGTAGTGGTAGTGGTAGTAGTAGAAGTAGAAGAAGTAGTAGTAGCAGTAGTAGTAGCAGAAGTAGTAGTGGAAGCACTTCTGGTAGTGGTCGTGGCAGTGGTAGTGGTACTGGTGGTACTGGTGGTGGTAGTGGTGGTGGTGGTGGTAGTGGTGGTGGTGGTGGTGGTGGTAGTAGTAGTAGTAGCAGCTATGGTAATCAAAGCAGTAGTACTACTCATAGTGAGGATAGTAAGACAATTGAGAACAGCAAGAGTTGCAAGAACAGCAAGAGTAGTAAGACTAGGAAGAACAGTTACAGTAGTCATCACAGATCTTTCTTCGTGTGCTCCGTTGCTACGTGAGGCGCCCATGGATCGGCTCGATGGAGTGGCGCAGCACGCCTCTCTGACGGGTGCAAAGCGGCGTCCTTGGCCAAGGGCTGCCAACTCGTGGCTCCTTCAGTGTATAGCACAGTATAGTATAGATGAGCATAGCAAAGCATGGTAAAGCGTAGTCTGGCATAGTGCAGTATAGTATAGTGTAGTGTAGTGTGGTCTGGTGTAGTCTAGCTAAGTCTAGTATAGTACAGCACAGGATCCACCACAACAGTTTTCATGCACTTCCAAGTGCTGTTGCTGTGGTTGCTCGTGCTACAATGAGCTGCTACAAGGCCAGCTGCTCCTGCTGGGGAAAGATTGCCACTGCTAGAAGATGGCACTCCCCCGATGGCACCGGATGCTTTGACAGCAAAGTCGGCATGCATGCTTGTATGTAAGCTTGATTAGTCAGCGCCTGAGCCGAACGCTGCGTGTCTCGACAGTCTTGCAAGGATTGGATGCCATCAAAGAAGATCAGACAGCGAACGTTTCCGCAGCAGCCGCCACGAGGCTTTCTCAATCGCAGTCTGGAAGTGTCATCACATTGCCTCCGGTGTGTCTGCATTAGAGGCAATAGTGGCGTCGGCGTTCCCGGCAAGTTTTCATTCCTGCAGGTGATACAGTATCATTGCCTGACCCCTGAATCAGGTGAAGGTGGCGGTCTGGACAATCCGGATGGTGCGTCACCGCTCATCGACATGGCTTGCATCTTAGCCGTTCCTGGTAGTCTGTCAAGGCTGACATGTCTGGTTACCAAGGACAAGCGTCGTCTCATCGCCAAGCCAGATCGATTGCGGTTAGGCAAGGGCCCTCCAGCTACCCAGATGCAGAAGACGTGCTACTGGGTACTGCGCCATGAGTACTCGGATTTCGCATCTTCTCAAAGCAGGGGAGCCGAATTGAGAGAAAGCTCCTAACCTTGGCTCCAGGTTGTTGGCAGCTTGAAGCGCGAGCTGTGGGACGACACGGCAGCAAACTATCCCTTGATGGCACCCAAGGCCTCATTCACTGGCGCAGAGCGACAGTTTAGGGTGAGTCCGCCGCAGGATCGGCTTTCGAGTGGAGAGGCAGAGGCGAATGCTTCGATCCTGCGAGCTTGCACTTCGTTGTGCCGGCTAAGCTGTGCTGAAAGCAGAGTGCACCAATGACAGTCGCTGCTTGTGAAAGGCATCCCAGCCTAAATTTTGATCAGTCCATTCTTTCTTTCCCTTTGGCCGATACTTCTGTCCAGGCCGTGGCGACGGTTGACCGGGTTCCTGCATACGTGTCCAGGCAGGTGCTGCAGCCCTTTTTTAAACGACATTTGGCATGTCTTTGCTTCTCTCTCTGCTCAGCAGGTATCTGGAACAACGCGTGGCCTGTCGGCAAGAGCGTGCAAAGGAATGACCAAGACATGACTGCTCTCAGCAACGTGACGGTAAGGTTTGATTAGATTTCTGCTGCTCTGACACGTGTAGTCGCGGAATTGCACGCCCAATTGTAGATGGTGCAGCATCTCCTCTCGTGATAGCTTGGTGGGTTGAGAGCAGAAACTAAGGTGAATCTGGACCAGAGACGGATCACCGAAAAACGCTTGACTCAGGAATCGTGTCATTCTGTTTTACTTGTATCGCTCAGCAATGCTGTGACAGAGCAATTGCACCGTGATGTTTATGAAGGAGTGGGATCGAGCAGATGTGAACAAAGACGGCGTCGTGTCGGACGAGGAGTTCAGTCTGGAGCTCCATGACAGGCTGTGCAAGAAGCTCGCTTGAACCTTCGTTCCTAGTTCAGATGCCAGGCAAGGCAAGTCTGCAGACGAAGTTGAACGCTTGTGGGAGCGCTACCATCAGCATTGGACTTACTTCTTGCTTTCTCTGACCGCAGTAGGAACTCTTTCCGGCGCGACCGATCGACCAGGTCAGAGGATGAGTTCATGACGAAAGCCGAATTCCTGCGCCTAGCTCGCACAGGCTCCCTAGTGAGCCGTCGTGCTTCATGCCTGAGACTTACATAGGAACACAAGACGAGACAAGATGCCAGGCTACGACCTGGGGACCATCTCACGGAAAGATGTGTCAGCAATGATGACTCCGAGCAACATGAAAGGCGCCGCTTTTTTTTTGATTGCGCAGCGCCCTTCGCCTCTTGAAAGACTGCTTGTAGGCCTTGGCTTCTGGGGTGCCGGTGCAACCTGCCCCGCTGGGGCATATGCTTCAGCCTCGCAGCGCTTCGGAAGCTGTGCCGGTGACTCCGAGCGAGTTCTCACCGAGGTCACCGGAGCTCAGATCAAGAAGATGAAGGACCAAGAGGGAGAGAGAATGGGCAGCATGGTAGAAACCACTCGCTTTTCCTGATGAGACGAGGCGCTCCTGTCGCCTTCCGTCGACGAGAGCGGAGTCAACGCTTTGAAATTCCAGTGCAGTGACGGCACCAAGGCGGGAAGCCCAATTCAGCTCTCGGTCTCTCGGAGTTGGCGCGGGAGGTTGCCACTGCAGAAGGACCTGATGGGGAGTGGTCAAACTGGACCAGCTGCCCGGAAGGCTCACGGCTCATCACAGCTCACAGAACCGTTTTGGAATTCATTCTGAAGTGTTTGAGGCCAGGCGGTGTACAGCTTCCGATCGCAGGGACGCAGCCCAAGGCTCCGGAATTGTCCATTACGTGATGTTGCAGTGCGTTATGTCACAGTATCTCATGCTATGGTGAATCGGTGATGTCAGTATATCTTCATTTTGGCGACTGTTCCTTGTGCAGGAACGGCTTGGACAATGCGGGCATCACTGGATTGGAGTTCAGCTGCCGACCCTTGAGCTAAATTGGAAGATGACAGTGAGAGCAAGGGGTACCGTGGCTGCTTCCTTGGAACGGAGGAGCCTCCGACCTCAGCGCCGTCTCCAAGCTCAACTTCTCAACCACCGAGGAGGCAAAGTCATAATTTTGACCACGGTGGGCCTGAGTACTGTGACCTTCGCTTACTGGCTAGCAGCATCGCCGCACCATGACCAGCCTGCCGTGCCTGCGGTTCTTACTGCATGAACAGCTCTGTGTTGCCACAAGCTTGCATGCGGAGTCTGAGTATGGTTCCTGCCACGACCTGTGCATAGATAAAGGTGTGCCATTGGTTCGCCGGTAACCTTCGTGCGACTGGAACTTTCGATCTTGCGAATGTACTGAGAAAAAGCTCACGTGTGTCGTCTAGTGCTGATCCCGCACTGATCCTGCATTGTTTTGTCTTCACATTGTTGCTGCATATGCTTTTGTTGTCGCTGACTCAGAATCTCATGCGCAGGGGACAACATCAAAGAGGCCCATATAGAAACCTGCGGAGCATGCCGGTGCCGCAGGCTGCCTGGTCCGAAGAACTTCGATGTCCTCCTGGAGAGACGGTGTGCGGAGCCCAAGCCAACGTGGTTCAGGACCCAGACTCGCCTTTAAAGCGGAGCGATTCACCGGGCATGCCTTTTCGCCGCAGGATGCAGCTGACAACATGGGAGTCGCAGACCTCCGCGTCTACTGCTCCTCGGAATCGGGTATGTGGGGACAGGTCCCTGGAGCTTCTCAACCGGGTTCATCTCAGAATGTCCAAGCTGTACCAGCTGCAAGAGGAAGCAGGGATGGGCACAAACGCAACTGCTTTCAAGGTTGCCAGTCATCCATCGATTGCTCGCAGATTTGCTCAAATGCGCAGAAGGGCATCAAGTTGGTCAAGCATGAAGCCGAGAGAGAGAGTCGGTTTCAGCTTGCTGCAGGGCTTGGATCCTGTTGGAATTGCACCATCTTTCGCCCAGGTGCAGAGCTTGCAGAAAGGCTGCTGGCAATGAATGATACTCCGATCGCAGCGCGCATTGCGAGTGAAAAGGGCAGCAATGTTCCACGAGCTCTTTCGTCGCGTGCTTTCTCGTGGTGTCAGTTCCGTAGGTATGGTACCTGCCGACCAACCCCACAAGAGTGGTACCCATGTCGACCTCGACAGGTGCGCACACAAATCCTGGAGTCTTTCACTGGCATACCAGACTGCAGCGTTGGCGGTCCTGTGTCGGACTTCTTCCAGAGCACCTGGGCCGCAGAAGTGGCTGTTTCGTTTCTTTTTCTTACGTTCCTTCTTTTGCTGCGCGATCCTGCCATCACTGCTTGGGAACCGGACTGCTTGCAGGGATGGGAAGAACTCATTTCTGCTTGGTTCCTCGTGGCTCTTCGGCACGGCACCTAAAGATTCAAACCGATGATGGCGGCCTTGTTGATCAAGTAATGGAAGGAACAGATTCCTGTGCCAGGCATGGACGATTCACCTTTACGAGAGCTTCTTCTTCGGTTGTGTCTCGCTTGCCGAGCTGAGTTTTCTGATTGTTCGCCTAGTAACAATGTGGTGCTGAATGCCCATGACCCATGAGCTGACGTTGAGAAAGTGCTGGCTTGAAGGTATTCCTGTAATCATATCCGACTTCTTGGATGTCCCCTTTCAGAATGTTGTCGACTGGCCTGCCGCGGCCCCTGATTTCGGCATGGGAACCATAAGAGCCCGTAAGCAAAGCTCCGAGGCCCTGAGCATCAAGTGGCCGGAGGAGAAGGTCGGCCCGGAGCTCCTGAGCTACCTGCGCAGCATTCCTCTGGAAAGGATCGCCAAGATGAAGCAAAAGCTCGAAGAAGCCGCCTGCTTCTTTGACTTCCACCGGGGTTGGGGCCGAAAACGCCGAAACGAAGCCGGCGAAAGCGACTCCAACTCCTGGCTCTCATGGGCCAAGGACCAGGTGGCGCTGGGTGTGGATTGCCAGTACCTGCAGCATGGAGACGGGACGTCGGCAGAAGACTGCAAGCGCAGCTGTACACGACATCAGCGCTGCAACACTGTGAACTTTTCACCTGGACGCGCACTGGAGTCAGGGGATTGTGTGCTGAGGAGCTGTAGAGACCCAGCGCAGCCTGCACTCACGGGAAGTGCCAGTGGCTGGCAAGTTTGGTCTATGGTCAATGATGCGGACCTGCACTGCTCGCCATACCATGCAATCTTCAGCCAGCTGCAGCAGCGAACGAGGCGGCCTTTGCAGCAGGGGCCCTGGCCCCAGTTTTCTCGCTTGGCAGCTTCATGCGCGGATTCCAAGGCAGTGCTTAGGCAGGGGCTTATTACTTGTTTCACATCCCATCCATCCAGCTGAGATCGTTCTGGTACTAGAGCGAACACCAGCAGCGCCTCCACTTCGTACTGCTCGCACCGACGCTGGCCGACACTGTGGTGCAGAGCGCCGCCGACGATGCGGCGAAGGAAGCGATCGTGGCGGTGTTGGTCGTAGTCCTGCTGGGCCCCACCTTGCCAGACAGAGCTGAGCAGCTTGTGGAAGGAACCTCTGAAGCGGATGGGGATGGCCAGCGGGGCCATAGCAACGATGCTTCGCATTGACATCGCACCTTTCGGGCGCTTCTGTCAAAGAGTCTACCCTTGGCTTGTGCCGTTCCCAGGCCCTCACGCTCCAACACCCGAGCTAATCCGATGCAGGCGGCCGATGCCACGGCGAAGCCAGATCCGTGCTTTGCCCAGCTGGGGTATGAATCGTGAGTTTTGGAGCACTTGCTCCAATCCCTTCCGTGGTCGCCGGCTAGGTACCTCATGGCCGATGCTGCGTGCCTTGGGCAGCACACGTGATCTAAAGCAAAGGTTACCTCAGGGCTTTGGGAACTGCCGGAACTAATAGCGCGACATGCTTTTCATGTCAAAGGATTGTCTACTACGGAACCATTCTCCATCTCTCTCCTGCGATACTATGCAAGCGTGAGAATAGCAGAGTAGCACGTAGCTACGCAGGTATATCCAGAAAGATACCAGATGGCGGAACAAGCAGCGAACGCTTGTGTTCTGCAGCCGCGGAGTTACAGCAAGGCGGGGACACTCTGGAGCAGTCGTGTCGACGAGTACTGGGACCAACTTTGTCTAGAGTGTTTTTGTCACGTCGTTCGTGTTGACTGGAGGTTTCGCCACTTGTGCGACGACCTTCGCAAGCTTTTACCCCACCACAAATCCGTCACCCTTGCGGAGTTCTCGGTTGAACAGACGCTTATGTGCTCAAGTTTGCGATGGCCAGGAACCAAAGTTTGAGAAACGATCAAACTTTAACGAGATCAATGAGGCTTGGATTCACGGCATGGGCGAATGTTGTTCATGGCCACTAGCGAAGCCTATATATGCAGATCTGCGAGCTGAAGAATTGCAACAATGTCGTGTTCTTCGAAGCTCGGAAACGAGAAGACTTGTGCGCCTGAAGGGCTGTTTGGACATCGGAAGTTGAGAGGGCACTGGGAGGCTTTAGATGTTGATGGATTTGATGGGCAAGCTGTCGAATTGCGAGACTAGCATCAAGCCTGTGGCTGGAGTTTTTCAGTTCCCGATGATCGCGAACTGTACAAGACGTGGAATGAGCAGGGTTGTGCTTTTCTCCACTTTCGACACTTCCAGCGGGACTGCCGCAAAGTGGGGTTGCCGGTACAGAATTGCTGTGAACGGAGAAGGGCCGTCTGCCATCAGATGCAGATGCTGCCCCTGAAGGTACCTTTGGGTCGGCCGAGTGCCCTCTGGCCCGACCATGAAGTTTCAGGCTCATTCTTCATAGCTCTGCGGAGTGCAAGCGTGTCGGGCTGCTGTTGTGCCGAGTTGTGCCAGGTGTTGAACATCCATACTACGCAGGAGGTCAGACTAGTCTCCCGCTCGGTCGTCTCGTGCGCTGAAGGAACTTGACCTGTTGGACTGGCCAAGGCTGGGAATTGCCTGTTGGGCTCCCGGCCGATAATGTGACTCTTCGCAGATAGTGAAATTTCAGACTGTGCCTCACCTGCCTTGTGGCAGAGTTACATCACCCGTTGCACTGGCAGGTACTTTGACAAAAGCTTCAGTGAGGTGTCATACCTGAAGCTTGTCAAAGGCTTGTTTACCCAGGCCGCTTGGGGAAACCGGCAGCCAGATATTCCAGGCTGTGTTGTTCTGCATCAGGTTTTTGGTACTCCGCGAAATCATCCCAAGAGCAAGCCCTTCCATGATCACATCATGTGCTTCTACTGGCGGCTGAGCAGCACTTGGATGGCCTTCGCAGCTTCATTGCGCGAGCTGTTGAGCACGCCGAGGCTGGACAAGAAGATCTGGCTCCGTCCTGAAGCAGCTAAGAAGCCGAGTCTTCCGAAGATTGAGCACTCAGGTTCAGACACTACCAAATCTCGCCGGAAACGCCGGAGGACAACAACAAGCCTGAGAAGCAGGCTGCTGACCTGGTGGGCCCGACCCTCCCACAAGCATCTCACTGCAGGTCCTCACTGAGATTGGCCCTCGCTTCGTGCTGGACCCAATCAGAATCTTGGGTGGAAGCTTCAATGGGCAAACCTTGTGAGCCCTCCAAGTTTGATTCTCAGATGCCAGGAAAGACTTCTGGCCCATGCTCCCTTGCCAGGTACCTGAACCCTCACTACATGTCGCCCACGGCCTTGCGGGTTCAGGCTGGCAGAGCCTCGCAAGCGGCAAGCTTGAAGTGGATGCTTTGGGGTTCGTTGCTGAGTCAAGCGGACAGTGCTTTTGATACAGGCAAGGAAGTTGCTCAAGAACCCCTACGTTGCTTGGACTGATCTAGCTTGCACTGCATGATCGGACTTCTCGGGGCTTCTGGTGTGCAGGCCAATTTTCACTGTCATGAGTTTGGCTTTGTGTTTTTCTGACAGTGTCTTGGTTTTCCGGTAGAAACGCAGGGCCCCTGGATGAGCTTAAACTCATTGGAAGACCGCGCTAATGCGAAGAATCCCGGGTCGGCAAGGATTTATCAGCTAAGCTGTAGCAATGTAAGCTTTCAGCATCGAAAAGACACACAACGTCACTTGAGAGTTCTGAATGTGGTAATCAGCACTGTCCTCCGTCCCGTGTCAAGCACAAGCTCCCGCGTCCGGAGACTAGCCTGGCTTGGCCATCTCACTGCGCCGCAGTGACCCTAAACCCTAGACCCTAA